TCTGGCGTATTTATCTATCGACAACTCGAATGAAACGTCAGAGAAGACTGCGATCAATGTGGTAGCCCAACGTATACATGAGTCGAAATTGCTAAAAATTCCTCAGTATTTTTGCGCTGAGTTCGCCTTAGACGACACTATGAACTCTACTACTGCCATTATTAGAGTAGTGTGATCAATCCTCCTTAGGTTCTGCATGTCTGTAGGCTAGGAATATAGGGAATTGTAAAGACTCAACTCGATCCTTGACCGAGCTTTCTACCAACCAGTCAATGATTACCCCCCATGTTACATTTCGATTCTAGTTTTCGTTGATATGCACGTAAATCTGGGAAAGCATCCACTGCATGCTCACAAACTGCTGAAACTTGACTAATGCATGGAATAATAATGCAACACAAAATGTACTTAGAACAAAATGTATTGAAACAAGAAAGTGTACACAATATTTACATATAGTCTTTTGTATATTCCTGGTAAGACCGTTCCTGGAGAATGTGTTGACTGAGTCGCAGTCGGGCAGAGTCTCTGGTTGAATCTCTTGATTCCTTCCCCCCGTCTTCCCGGTACCAACCATATTTATATGGTCGGTACTCCACTAGGCAAATTAGGTGGATCCTACCACAACACAAACATACAAGATAAAGACAAACACTTAGTTCAGAACAACACGATATCTGTTTCCCATATTATAAAATAGGTATTTTTATTCAAGGCTTCATAGTTTTCGTCTGGGTTGGTAGGTAGATGACAGATCAGTTCTTCTCTCCGTTGAGCCTCTCACCCATATACATATCCCAACGTCTGACTCGCAATATAAACCCGGCTCTCGCCAAGGACCGACCAGAACTCTCTTCAATTGCAAGCGTGGCTGTTAATATAGATCAACACCCAGATACTCCCTATATCTGGTATTGCTCTCACTTGATTTCCAAAAATGCCTGATCTATTCCATTCCTTCCCCGCTATCGTATGGTCAAAACGGATACGGCTTAAAACAGAAAAAGAAAACATCTACTGTTGATCAAACATAAACACGAGATCGAGAAAAGCACCATTCTACGTGGGTGGCACTAATATCACAGAATATATGTTTCGTTGGCGAATCTTGTTGTCCATTAGTAGTCAGTTCAATCCTCATTGTATATTGTATCAAACATAACAAATATTATTTAACTGACATCTCGGATTGAGATAAGGATTAACAGGTTTATTTTTTAACCATGATCACCGCGAATTGGGATTGGTTCTCGGTGTTTCTTAGATTTTGCATAGCTATATGTAGTTACATATAGCTATGCAAAATCTAAGTTACAATTACTAATTTTGAGTGACTCAACGGAGTATAATGAACTGTGATTTGAAAGTAGTTGTAAATCAGTAATGCTATTATCTTTATCTTTATTGCTATATTCACAATGTTTCGGCCGTTTTACGCTCTGGTCTTCTTCAGATGATTAGAATTTCGGACCGAACACTTTATTTTATCTACTGGTGTAGTGATAAAGAATTAAAGAAAAAGCAATGAATAGTAACAAAATATGCTGTTGTGGATTCTGGGATGAAATCCGGTACCAATAAATAACAAACGCCAAGAATGAATATAAGGAAAATATGTATTAACGTAATAATACAAACTGGTAATGCAGGTTAGTAGTTCCAGGAATACGGGTTAGTAGCAAAATGTCTATACAGTCTTTGGTATTGAAGTATCGCTGTAGGACTTCTTACTGAGTCTACGTGCTCGCTCACTGTGACTCCTACAACCATGTTACCTCACCCTCACTCTTCCGGTTACATACAACCTTTTACTCTGTCACCCTGGACTCGACTCGACTCGACTCTTGCTCTCCTCGGGTATTCACTGGCAGTAGTTTAAGTATACACTGGGTGAGTCCATTTGTATAAAAAGAGGGTAGACCCCTCAACATATTAGCTCTGGTTAAAAAAGTTATAAAAAGAAAAATTGCAATATGAACACTGGTAAAAAAAATAGACGCTGAGATATTAGGTTTATAAGTCCCAAAAAATTCATACACAGATGGCCCAGTGGATAAACGCGCTGGTTAGATCCAATGACTAGACACAAAGATTTGTGAATTCAATCCCAGGCTAGAGCATTGGTGAATCAAAAACATGAAGAGCTGAGTTAATAGGAAATAACTGAGACATCCTGAAGAGACATGGCACGTGGAAATAGAACAATCTACCAGAGGGAACGACATAAACACTTCGGTTCGAAATTTCAATCACTCGAAGAAGGCCGGAGCGTACAACGCCGAGACGTAAATATGTCAATGAGGATAACGTTCCGAATAATCTAAGTAATCATAATGCCTCATCTAAGATTTATAGACAGACATCAGTATTAATAAATTCGAATATCACACATATTATTGGCCTTGTGTCAAACCTTATCTGAATATATTAAATAACAAGAGTATTATTTACATGATGCATTTGAGCTATTCCTGTAGTGAGGATTGTTGGCAGGGTTAAAAATGAAAGAACGAGAACGAAAGGAAAACTTAAATGAGAGAGGGTAAAAAATTATTTGTTTCACTGCAGTAATCTAATGCGTTAAGTAAAGCATGGCAGGCAAGTTAGAATTATTTCCATTGACGTCTCTACGAATTTACTTTGTATTGTTTATTACTGCTTATTACTGAAATCCTATATATTTTAAGAATTTTCACGAACATATGGCAGGAAAAATTATCGGAGCTCAACTAAATATGTAGAGGAGAATAATTGTAAACTGTCAGCAGAAATATTTATTTATTACCTCTGAAAGAGATGGAGCCATATCATAACCTACTGATTTTTTTAATGTTTAAAGTGATTGTTTATTGGATCTGTTTACGTGTCAGTGTGCAACGACCTCTTTCTTTTCCTGAATTTGCTTATGTAGGTGTGTACATACGTTTGTCATTATATATGAAAAAAAGAAATAACAAAAAAATTCACCAGAGTTTTTATTGGTGACTCTGATAAGAAAATGTGTAAAACCGGAAGTTTGCAAAACAAGATGGTGGGAAATTATATGAGAAACTGACGGGCGGTTTAAGAGGTAAATATTAGAAATAAAGTAGCGAAGCAAAAGAAAATCGCATTTTCAGTGAAAAGGAAAGAGTTCGATGGAATGGAGGAATTGTGGTTTCGTAATAAATGCGGGTTATGATGCTCCACTCAGGTAAATTCTCATAAAAAAGAAAATAGCTAAGAAGGATCTTTTTAAAAATATATATGATGAAAAGAAAGCGCGAAAAATGAGAAATTTTAGAATGATAAAAAAAAAATCAAATATCGATAAATAAGAATCTATGTTTCAGTGAAGGAAAATAAAGAAGGTTAAAATGTAACTGAAAATAGAGTCTAGAGAAACGAATATAAATAGGATTAAACTCACTTCGAAAGAAGTAGGTAAAAAGAAAGATTCGAGAAAAGCTAAAACAAAGGTATCTATAAATTATATGAACTGACGGTATAGGAGAGATGGATACAGGTGTAATTAACTAAGCATCAGATTGGCATTAGGCCTTAAATATTGAGCATAAAAATATGTATCTAATTAACTACACAATAGTAAATGCTGAACCAGCCTAGACCACCGAGGCGCCCACATTTACTCATCTAAGAGTCTGTCTATATTCCTGAGATGAGGTATTATGTACAGTATTTACATTAGTCGGACTATTGTTCATTTTGTCGAAGATATTATCACAACAAGCCAGTGTACGCTCCGGAACCTTTCAGGTTATTTTCGAACTGAACCCTTTATTTCGATCACTGGGGTAGACTGTTTTAGTTCCACGAGCCATTTTTTGATGGATGTCAGTTATCAGTGATCGAAATAAAGGGTTCAGTTCGAAATTCCAAACACCTGAAGAAGGCCGGAGCGTACAACGGCCGAAACGTTGTGACAAATCTGGCGACAAAGATGAGGACAATGGTTACTCATCTAAGTTTGGCATAAGGCCACCACAATAGGGAATTATCTTGAGAACAGTGATGCATAACTGACAAGGCAGATTTTTTTCACCGTTACGTTCTGCGGTAGACCAGTTCCCATCCAAGGCTATGGGACCCGGTCTATCTTACTACCTACCCATAGCTGGGGGATAAGAAGAGGATTCATACATAAGTGATTGTTATGGATTCGATCCAATTCCTCAATCCGGGCCGCTATCCATTACTCCGCCATGCTTTCTCCTTGAGAACAAACTGATTAAATGGTGTTTATCAATCCACCCACGGGGATCGAATGTGGCACAAGGCCTTTTTAATGTGGGTATGTCTGAGCCCGTAGGCACAGCCAAAAATAAATAAACATCCAAACCCGCCGAGGCGGGCCAGTTCCGTCAACCTCCCCCAACGAAACCCTACCCTTCGGCGGAGCTTCGTCCGGGTTCCTCTCTGCAAGCAGAGAGTTCGACAGACACCCGACCCGGCAGCTCACAAAGCGCAGATACTACACTTTGATCCTAGCCACCGGGCCGAGCAGGTATTCTTTTTATCGATACAAACTGATTAAATGACCAACTATTAGGTCATCGTTTTTTGACGTTAAAAATACGTCAAAAAACGACATCATTACGTCATTATTTTTACACCAACCTAATAGTTCATTTAATATCAAGTAACACCGAGTTGAACTAAATTTACCAGGCTTAGAGTAGTTTCAAACAAGACCAAAACTATGCGGTACCCAGTGTGTAGCCAAGCCATGACTCATTTGTAGTGGGCAACGCAACTAGCTTGCTAATCATTCATCCACGCTGAGGAACCTGTATGTACTCAGCTGATCTTAATTTGGCACAAGGCTACGTCAATGCATGCAGTGAATATCGAAATCCCAATTCTTTAATAATAGTGAAATAAACTTGAACGCTAAAAATCATCCCATGCTGAGGATTTGTTTCTTGCTAAACTGTTTAGCAATCACTAATCTACGTCTGGAATATATCGCGATTTCTGGGTCAATGGGAAATTGTGGGAAACTATGAGTCTGTGCGTGTTTGTGTGTGTGTGTATGTGAGAAAGAAAAAAAAAGAAAGAAAGAAAGAAAGAAAGAAAGAAAAAGAGAGAGAAGGAAAAAAGAAAGAAAGAAAAAGAGAGAGAGAAAGACAGAAAAAAGAGAAAGACAGGAAGAAAAATAAACAAATAAAGAAAGAAAGAAAGAAAAAAGAAAAAAGAAAGAAAGAAAAAAAGAAAGAAAGAAAAAAGAAAAAAAGAAAGAAAGAAAAAAAGAAAAAAAAGAAAGAAAGAAAAAAAGAAAAAAAGAGAGAGGGAACGAGAAAGAAAGAAAAAAAGAAAGAGGGACCGAGAAAGAAAGAAAAAGAGAGAGGGACCGAGAAAGAAAGAAAAAGAGACAGGGACCGAGAAAGAAAGAAAAAGAGAGAGGGAACGAGAAAGAAAGAAAAAGAGAGAGGAAACGAGAAAGAAAGAAAAAAAGAGAGAGGGAACGAGAAAGAAAGAAAAAGAGAGAGGGAACGAGAAAGAAAGAAAAAAGAGAGAGGAAACGAGAAAGAAAGAAAAAGAGAGAGGGAACGAGAAAGGAAGAAAAAGATAGAGAGAAAGATAGGAAGAAAAAGAAAGGAAGAAAGAAAGAGACAGAGAAAGATAGAAAAAGAGAGAGAAAAAGAAAGAAAGAAAGAAAGAAAGAAAGAAAGAAAGAC